GAGGGGAGGGGGGGAAGGGAGGGGGGGGGGGGGCACCGGCCGCAGGACGCCTGGGCCCACGCGCTCGGCCTTGCACATTTGCAGCTGCTGCACGTGTGCAACTGCGCCTCGCGCTTGCACTTGAAGCCCCCCCGCCTTGTTTGCAGCCCCCTTCATTAACGCATTGAGGCCCCTTCGTTTGCAGCCGCCCCTCTTGCTTTGGCGCTTTTTAAATTTCTTTTTAAAGCCTTCTTCCCTTTTATCTTCTGTTTCTTTCTTTCTTTTTTTATTTTTTTGCCCTTGTTTCTGCTCCAGTTTTCAGTCCAGTTCAGCCGGGGGGTCTCGTCTCTCCCCATGGGCCGCTATGGGGGTGGGTGACAGGGGGGCTTTGCCCTGGCTGCTGCAAATGGGGCGAAACGGGGGGAATTTGGGGCCAGAGGCGCCGTCCTGCTGGGATACTCCGGATCAGAGGCCCTGGAGCGGCGCTGGGATGTGCCGGGATGTGCTCCAAGGATGCTCCGTGCTGCACCGCTGTCCCATGCCATGAGGCTGCACCGTACGAGGCTGCATCTTGCTGCAATGCTGCAGCAATGCTCCAAATTGCAGGATGCTCCATGCTCCAAGGATGCTGCACGCCCCAGGGATGCTCCATGCTCCAAAGACGGGCTCCACACAAGGACACGAGTGGGTGCAAGCCGCAGCGTGCAAAGCTGCGCCATGGTGCCACGCTGCACTACTGTCCCATGCTGCAGGGATGCAGCGTGCATGAGGATGCATGCGCTGGTGCAGGATGCACACGCTGGTGCAGGATGCACCGGGTGCAGCTGCGAGGATGTGCCATGCTGCGAGGATGCACCGTGCTGCAGTTACGCACCACACGCTGAGGATGCACCATGCAGCAAGAATGCACCATGCAGCGAAATGCCCTGCGTGCCGAGTTTGCACCATGCAGTGAGGCTGCACCATGTCCCAAAACTGCACTGTGTCCTGAGGATGCACCATGCAGCAAGACTGCACCATGCAGCGAAATGCCCTGCGTGCCGAGGTTGCACCATGCAGCGAGGCTGCACTGTGTCCCGAGGATGCACTGCGTCCCGAGGATGCACCATGCAGCAAGAATGCACCATGCAG